GAGATCCCAATCGCTCAGGATTTACCAAGGACTTTCTATGTGCCAAGCCCATCAGACAGACAATAGAATAATGAAGAAATACCTTCAGTTAGTGAAATAATAAGGAGAGGGGCTCAGCGATAAAACAGGCTGCGGGGCACCTGAGGGCCTCCCAGAGCAGGTGTGGGCTCAAGCATGAAGCAGAGAGAGAAGGAATCCAGGCCAGGAGAGAGGAGAAGCTATCCAGGTAGAGGGAAGAGCATGTGCTAAGACCCATGGGCAGGAGGGACACAGGAGCTCTACAGGCAGTGGGCAGGGCTGGGGGCATGGGGGTTAGTGTGGAGCCCTGTCAGTCAGAAAGATGGACACAGTGGCACAGAACTGGATAGCTGTTTAGGAGGCTGCCTGGGTTCAAGTCCTGACCTCAGCCTCTCTGGGCCTCAGTTTCCACATGTGTTCAACATGGTGGCAGAAATGGAGTGTTCAGGGCTCATGAATGATGGCCTGATGTGCAGAGAGACAGAAAAGTGAAGTCACACTTCAGAGCCTGGAGGCCAACCCAGCTGGCCTGTGGGTAGGTCTCAGGGAGGCAGGCAGAGGATGCAGCTGAGCCCGGGTGTGCTGCCCTGAGCTGGGGCGAGGCAGCAGGGATAGTCCTGAGTTTCTGTGGGACTGCCCTGCTTGACTTCCTGTGCAGGAGGGACAGTAGAGTGCTGGGCTCACATGTAGGTCCCCAAAACTCGAGGCCTCTGCACCGTGAGTCCCCCCATCAGGCTCCTGGGGCCTCGGGTGACTCCCAGCTTATGGGGATGTGAAGTGAGCTCCTGAAAAAGGAGAGGCAGCTCAGCGTGTGGTCGCTGTGGGACTGTCAGGGTTCTAATCCTAGGTCCCCACACCTCACCTCCGTGGCCATGAGACTGACGGCTATGCCTTTTGGAGTCTGTTTCCCCATCTGTGAAATGAGTAAAGAACCCACTGCAGCATCTCTGAAGATTAAATGACTTTTAAAAACCTAAGGTACTTCTAACAGCGCCTGCAAGGAAGGGAGCTTCCTGCGGCGGTGACAGATGAGGAAACTGAGGCAGGAGAGTGACAAGGCAAGGCCCGGGACTCTGACGGCTTGTTGCTGCTGTGCCCATTTCGCAGACTAGGTGCTGGAGGCTCAAGGAAGAGGGGTCCTCCGCAGGGATTCCGGACCCACGTAGTGCCGCGTTCTGCTCGGCGGCCGCTAGAGCCTGCTCTAATCGTGGCTCAGTCCACTCGCTGGTCCCCCTCCCCGCGCCAGTCCCGCTCCTCCTCGGTCAACCCCCTGACCACGCCCCTCGCTCCCGCCAGCCCCTGGCCACGCCCCCGGCCCAGAAGGCCCTGCAGGGTCCAGCCCGATGCGTTGGGAGCCGATTCCCCGGCGCGCAGTCCAGCCCGCAGTATGAGTTCCCCGGCTGCGGCCCCGATCTTCGCGCCCGGCGAGAACTGCAGCCCCGCGTGGCGGGCGGCGCCTGCGGCCTACGATGCATCGGACACGCACCTGCAGATCCTGGGCAAGCCAGTGATGGAGCGCTGGGAGACCCCCTACATGCACGCGCTGGCGGCCGCCGCCGCCTCCAAAGGTAGCCCCCCGCCCGGCCCGAGCGCAGCCGCCTGGGGCGACGGGGTAAACGAGGGCGGGGGCGCCCTGACCCGGGGCCATCCTGCTCTCTGGCTGGCGCGCATTGGAGCCTTTCCGTGTCTCTTTTCTCGCATGGAAAACGGGGCTGCTAGCAGTGGGCGCCGGGGAAATAAAAGAGGGTGCTGTGGACACTGGACATAGCAGGCGCCCCCTAAGTACCGGGAACTTCCTCTCCAGGGGAAATGAGGTCACGACTCAGGGCTGGGTCTTCAGCTGTGGGACCTCGGGTGTAACTCAGCCGCCAGCGGCCCCCCTGAGGTCGGGAACGGGGTGGTGGCGAGCACTGGACGTTGCCCAGGCGCACGTGGAGAACGTTCCTGCGCGGAATCGGGAGGCCCCGCCCACTCCGGCTAAGAATAGCTCTGGGAAAGCTGAAGCTGGGAGACAGGTGTCGCGGAGTGACCCTGAGCATGTCAGAGCCCGAGGAGATCCCAGGTCCCCCAAGGGCCGGGTGAACGGTGTCTGGGCCTCGGTCTGTAGTCCAATGGGGAACCCCCCCACCCCACCTCCGATTGTTCCAGACCCTGGCCTGGAATCCTGGTCCTCCCTAGCCCTTCTCTTGTGAACTTCATCGTGGGGGAGGGTGGAAGGGGGAGCGAAAAGTAACCAAGTCAAGAGATAAGTGCCACCAGTGCACATAGCAGGAGCCCGGCTCAAAGTCCAGGATGTCTGACACCGCCCCCCAGGTCTGTCCCAAAAGCCACTCTGCTGCCTCCCAGGCCTGCCACTCTCTCTGGCTGCTGACCAGGGCCCACACTGTTCCCTCTCAGGGCCACTGTCCCTTTGTCTGCTGTGCCCTCTCATCCTTGTGGCAAGTTTCTCTGTGCCCCCCCCCCTTTGTGTATCCAGGGGGCCGGGTCCTGGAAGTGGGCTTTGGTATGGCCATTGCAGCCACCAAGGTGCAGGAGGCTGCCATCGACGAGCACTGGATTATTGAGTGCAATGAGGGCGTCTTCCAGAGGCTTCAGGACTGGGCCCAGTGGCAGCCACACAAGGTCTGCCCAAAGGCCTCTGCCCCTCCTGGGGGAGGGATGCAGAAGAGGGAGGTGGGCTCCTCCCTTGGGAGTTCCTTTGCCCCCTTCCCCTGCAGTGAAGTGCAGGGGACCTCTCTGACTCTCAGCTTTCTCTTTTTTTCTACCGTTCCCAAGGTGGTTCCCTTGAAAGGCCTGTGGGAGGAGGTGGCGCCCACCCTGCCAGACGGTCACTTTGATGGTGAGGGGGGTCTGGGGGCTGGGAGAGGGGAGCCTCTGCCTCAATTCCCACCACTAGCCCCTTCCTCACTTGCTGATGTGTCACTGGGGCAACAGAGCCTGGACGGGGAATACTGACACATGAGGCCTGGTACTCAGTAATAGCATGGTGACACCTGAATCAGATGCAATTCCTAGAGGAAGCACAGTGAACTTGGGGCACAGCCGCTGGGGTTCCCAGGCTGCATTCGGGTCCCACCTCGTATGTAGCCATCATCTTGGTGTGGCTGCTGCTGGCCCTGACCATATGGCTTCTGTTCTCCTGTGCAGGGATCCTGTATGACACATACCCGCTGTCCGAGGAAACTTGGCACACGCATCAGTTCAGCTTCATCAGGGTAGGACTGCGTGTGGAGGGAAGAGGTCTAACAGCCCCCAGCATGGGGTGGGTGGATCTGTTGTCCACACACTGGGCACCCTCTCTCCTTTTCCACTTGTTTCTGACCTCCCTCCTTACTGCTGTCCCCCTCCCAGGGCCAAGCTTTTCGCCTGCTGAAGCCAGGGGGTGTCCTCACCTATTGCAACCTCACCTCCTGGGGGGAGCTGATGAAGTCCAAGTACGAGGACATCAACACCATGTTCGAGGTGGGGCAGTCAGTGCTCTCTGGCCCGCTCCTCCCTACCCTCAGCCAGGGACCCAGAGTAGCTGTGGTCACCTGTGACCTGGGAGGGTCCCTCGCCTGTCTCTGGTCTCTGGACTGCTCTCTTGGGTGGATTGTGAGTTCTGTGTGGAAATCAGGCAAGGTCCTCACCTAGCTGACAGCGTGTACCTTCCTCCATCCTGGTGTGTCTGCTGGTTCAGCCACACTGTTCCCTCTACCTGCAAGGATGAACAGGTGTGCAGCCTGGTGACACTGTGACAGCCAGGAAGCTGCTACCTGAGCTCAGACACCTGGATACTGGTACCCAGGCCTGGGCTTCTGCCTTTTCTCAGCAGCTGGGTCTGCGGTGGGGGTTGCTACAGCCTCTGGGGCCTTGGCACTAGCAAATGCTGTGCAAGCAAGGGTGAGCACTGGTGTGTGTTTGTCATGAGGCTCCAGAGCCTGGAGGTGATCTGGCACCTTCTTCCTGTAGGAGACGCAAGTGCCGGCACTGCTGGAGGCCGGCTTCCAGCGAGAGAACATCCACACAGAGGTGATGGAGCTAGTCCCACCAGCTGACTGCCGCTACTACGCTTTCCCGCGGGTGATCACGCCCCTAGTCACCAAGCACTGAGCCTGCTGCCCCCACATCCCTACTCAGTGCCCTTGTGGTCAGGAGTGCAGGTTCTGGCCTCACAGCCCCTGGGAGTTGAGGCCACACCAGCTGCGTGACCCCAGCCACATTCCCTAACCTAACCTCTGCAAAGGGACCAGCACCAGCTCCCTCCTGGGTCATGGGGATGAAATAAACACTGGATTGGCCAATCAGCAGCACAATGCAAAACTATGCTCACTCCCCCCCCTTCCAAAAAAGGAAAATCTGTTAATTGGATAGTCAGGGAGTTAGTGGGTGGGCTAGTTCTCTCCATTGTGTACCAGCCAATGATCCCACTTCTGCCCATGGCAGACATCACCAATCAATCACCAATGGTCCTTTACCCCAGGCAGCCAGGGACAGGACTCCTCCTTCCCTGTGGTTGGCAGGTGGGGTCCAGAGGAGGGGACAGGCAGAACTAGGTTAGGATCACAGGAAGGGTGGCAGCCCCCAGGCCCAGGTCCTTAGGCCACTGAGGAGGGTCTCTGGTCCCACCTAGTCAGGCTGAACCTCAAAGCAAAACCTTTACACATGGCCTCTAACAGGACCGTTGGCCCATGAGAGAACTGCAGTGTCACTTGCTGAGGTCTGCAACTCTTCTACTGCCCAGTGTCTTGTTTCCTCTGACTTGGTGCCTCCCTCCAGCCCCAGTGTAGGGGCACCCCAGCCCCCACCCAGCTCCCCTCTTTCACAGCAGGGAAGTACAGGACCCCCAGGAGGGGCTAGTGTGGACCCAGCTATCTGCCTCCAGGGCCTCAGCATCTTTGGGGATTGACCCTGCCCATGCCTGACCCAGAGGGGGTTCTCTGCCTGGTGGGCACCTATCTCCCACCCTTTCCCCTGACCCACACACCACGCAGGCAGTGCAGTCTAGGTGGGTTTCTTGGGTTTATTGACCATCTCTGGGGACAATGACGATGACAGCAGTGGGCGGCACTACCTGCGGTACCAAATCCTGAGCCTCTTCTCCCGCTTGATTTTCTTCTGCAGCTGCAGGATGCCATAGAGCAGGGCCTCAGCCGTGGGTGGGCAGCCTGGGGGAGGGGGAGGGACCAGCCTCAGTGTCCCTGCCCTAGGGAGCTGGGACCCTGTGAGCAGTGACTGGGTTCTGGGGCCACCGTCCCTCCCCTGGCTGCTGGCCAAGGGCACCTGAACCAGAGCAAAGATCAAGGACCCACTGGGGGCAACAAGCAGAGGCCACATGGGGCAGGCAAGGACAGGCCGCCCAGGGCCTTGGAAGAGTGACCAGGGGACCATGGGTGGGGCTGAGGGCTGGTCAGCCACGTCCAGGCCACTTACCAGGGTGGGAAGGGCTGAGATGGGCCCTCACCCCAGCATCCCAAGAGTCTGCACTGCAAAGGCTGGGGATCTGGCCCACCACTGGGAAGGAGCTGGCATGGTGGGCAGGGCAGCCCACAGACTGAGACGGAAACCCCCTGAGAAATGGTCCCCACAGTCCCAGTCCCCGATGCAATCACAACCACAGGTGGCAAGATAAACAACTGTCATAGTCATTTACTCCCAGCTAACCCTGCAGTGCACAGTGATCAACAGTATAATCACAACCGCCCATTTGATGGATAGGGAAATTGAGGCTTAGAGAGGAGACTTTCCTGAGGTCATGCATCAGACAAGCAGCAACTGACCAAGGGTCTGGCTCCTGGTCAAGGTTAACAAGTACGCGGGGTAGACTCCTACAGATCCCTCGAAGCCCCACCCACTGTGCCCTCTGCTGCCCAACAGGTGGGGTTGGGCACATCTGTGTCAGGCTCCATCCCACCAACCTGGGGACTCCCCAAGACCTGGCCCAGCGCTGCCCAAGACAGGTCCAGGCCTAGAAAAGCACTCAATAAATATTCACAGAATGCTAAACAAATGAACTCCATTTCCTAATTAGCTCTAATACGATGTAAAAACCTGTTTCTCTGCCTTTGGGAAGTGTCAGCACGTGCTGGAGGCCACCCCCACCCTGCCAATTGGCCCTGTGAGGAGGTGTGGGAGTCCTGCAGGGCTGCAGGATACAATAAGAATGCCTAGATACTGGAAACCAGACAAACCACTGATACTTTTTTTAGTATAAGTATATCCCAAATATAGGGGACATACTTACATGAAAAAGATGTCATTCATTATTTTTCTGACATTCAAATATAATTGGGTGCCCTGCATTTTTTTGTTTGCTTTTTTAGCTGAGCCATCCTGCCACCTGTTAGCAACTCAGCAGCAGCTCAGCTTGGGCTGTGAATTAAACCAGTGACCCTGTTGCTCAGAGCTCACACTCGAGTGAGCTCTTAACCAACTGAACCACTCGGCCAGCACTGCCCTGCATTTTTATTTGCTGAACCCGGCTACCCTGGCAATCTCGGGTCGGAGGGGGTCTCACCTGCCTGTTGTGAGGACGATAACTCACAGACACCATTCCTGGCCTTCAGGAACATTTTTCTGGTTTTTAAGTGGATTTCTTTGGTTTTGTTTCTATTAGGTGGAATCATAAAACCGTGGCTAAAAAATGGCTGAATATCTGCAATTCCATACAGCTGAACCTAACCACTTCGATACAGGCCTGGTCCAATGTCTGGATAAAATCAGGGAGCCCCCTCAAGGGATGATGGAGGGAAAGGCTGGGTGTCATTCTTCTTAGATCTGAATCTGCTCATCTTTAAAACAGGGGTAGCTCACTATGTCTGCAGGGACATGGGGACCCCATGACATGGTCATGGGCTTGCACAGGCTCCTTCGTGGGGACCTGAAGGCCCGGCTGCCCAGAGATACAGGTGGTGGGCTTACTTACCTGGGACGTAGATGTCCACAGGCACAATACGGTCACAGCCCCTCACGACGGAGTATGAATAGTGGTAATAACCTCCTCCATTGGCGCAGCTGAAAGAGAAGGAGGGCTGTGAGGGCCATCACTGGCCTCACCCCTCCTCAGGGCCCTGCCCCAAATTCACCCGCCTTCAACTGCAAGCAGGTGCCTGGGCTGTCAAAAAGGGCAAGATGGAACACAAAGTCACAGGAATGACAAAAGCCACCTAAGACTTTGTGGGACCAGGTGGAGTAGAAGCTAATGGATGGACCTTGAACACACAATGCTCATGCGAGAAGCCATAGACGGTGTGTGATGCCATTCATGTGAAATGTCCAAAACAGGCACATCCAGAGAAAGGAAGTGGGTTAGTGGTTGTCAGGGGCTAGGGAGGGGTGCGGGTAACTACTAATGGGGATGGGGCTTTTTGTTGGGGTGATGGAATGTTATATCTCAACAAAAAAATTAAGTGACTAAACAGGTTTTAATGATGTGGGGAAATGACAACAAGCGAAACAGGTGAGAACAATGTAAACTGTCTATAGAGGATGACGTTATTTGTGTTCATGAAGCAAAGAAACAGACGGAAATCAGATGGGCTGTTGGGGTGGGGGAGCGACGATAAGTGAGGGGACGTCCTGGGGAGGGGGCGGGATATGCAGAAGTCTGGCACTGTCCTGTTCCCAGGAGCGGTGGGAGTTTACTGAGTGTAAGTTACACCTCGACAACCTTAATCGGACAGAAGCAGATATGAGATTGGGAGGACACAGGCCAGCGTGTCATGGGCACGTCCCAGCTCTGCTTGGCACTCACCTCCCCATGGACACAACATAGCGCGGCTCGGGCATCTGGTCATAGACCTGGAAGAGATGGCAGGGTCTGTGAATGGCTCAGGCCAGGGCAGCAGTGGGCAGTGGGGCCAGGCCTACCTTGCGGAGTGCGGGGGCCATCTTGTTGGTGAGGGTCCCGGCCACGATCATGACGTCAGACTGGCGTGGGCTGGCTCGGAAGACCACGCCAAAGCGGTCCATGTCATAGCGGGGCGCTGCCATATGCATCATCTCCACAGCGCAGCAGGCCAGGCCGAAGGTCATGGGCCACAGTGAGCTCTAGGGGCCAGGTAGTCGGCCATGAGTGCATGGTCAGCCCACCATGTTTCAAAAAGGTGGGTGATTTCACATAGAAAAACCTAGCATTCTAGCATTTCCTAAAGAATGACACATTAGCCAAGCCCCCCGCATAGCAGCCAGATGACCTCCACGCCCCTTGGACACCTGTCACCAGCCTGAGCTTGCTCACTCTGACAGGAAGGCAAAGTGAACGAGGTCTGTGGGTCACACTTCTCAGTAGCCACATTACCAAAAAAGGGAAAGAAAAGTTTAAGGAGAAAACCCCAGGTGCAATTCATTTAGTAACATCGTTCCCGTAACCCAGTACCCCCTAAATCCCATCCTTCCAACTGCTCCGAGTGCCGGCACCACACGTGGCTCAGGCTGACCCTGAGGTTCTTGTCCCCAACACCTCCTGTGTCTAGTGAATCCTCCAGAAAGCCCTTCTGGATGCCCTCGTCCATCTTCGTCCATCTGTTTGGTGCCTGATTTCCCCACGTCTGGGCTCCTCTGCCAGACTTTTCTCTGCTTTTCCCTGTGTCTAACCTGGGACCTGGAAGTGGCCCCCATTGATGTGCTAATGCAGGTGACAAGGCAAGGGCTGCCCAACATGTCAGGGCCACCTGATGGGCACTTGAGCTGTCTGACCCTGACCTCATCGCTAGGTATTCAGCCACAAACCAGACCGCAGTGGACAGCTCTGTCCTGGAGCTGGAGGCCTTGGGAGGGTGTTTGCTGCAGTGGCGTGTGTGACACAGAGACACACAAACAACAGAGATAGTGCATGGCCGTCAATGGGGGATTGTTACAGCAGCCTGTCCAGGCCCAGCACCCCTCAGGCAATGAAAGGAGCCTGTGTCCTGGAAGACAGGACATGTGTCCAGTGGGAGACAGGCTGAGCACAGGACTTAAGGGAGGGGACACAGGACAAAAGCTGTTCTGTGGCTGATGCTAGGGGCAGGACCAGTTTTTAGGGTTTTTGCTGGGAAGGAGCTACTGTTTTCAGCATGCATTACATTTCCAGTTAAAAAAAATTACTTTTACATTAACAGAAAAAAGAGGAATGAAAAGACAGAACTACAGAAGGGAGGTGGGCCATCTTCACTGGGGCTGAGGGACGGAGGAGAGGGTTGGGTAGGGACACAGGGTGAGAAGCTGGCAGGGCTGGGGGTGGGGAGGATGAGTCCTGACAGATTCACAAGTTTCTGGGGGAGACTGCTGGCTCCCTGGGCCACAGGCGGGCATGTGTGTGAGTACGTAGTGGGAGGCTGGAGGGACAGAGGAGGGCTAGGGCTCACCCGGCGGGCCCAGTTGATGAGGTCATCCAGCTTGGCCACCACATACTCTCCCCGGCTGCTGGGAAGTATGCTGGATTTGGGGACCACAGCTCCGGGCTTGAACACAGCAGGCTGGATACTGGGCATGGGACAAAGCACAGGGAGGTGTCAGCAAGGCAGGACCCCGGGAGTTGGGCACTGGCTCCCCCCACAGCCCCTACTCTGGAGCACAGCCTGGAGCGAAGTCATGGCCACAGCTTGTCCCACAGTCAGTGCTTGGAGGAACCATGGGGCCAGGCCTGGGTCAGGACACAGCTGCTCAACATAGGAATGAAAGATGGCATGACATGCCTCAGCTCGCCCCGAGGCCCGTATGTTTTTGGGGGCTCAGTTTCCCCATCTAGAAAACGGGCTCAGCTGACACATCCTTTAGCAAAGGCCTTTCTGGTTTGGGGATGTGCAGCCACTGGCCTGGGCCCGCAGGATGGGGCTGGGCAGTGCTCCGAAGGTAGAGATCCCATCACATTGCCCTGCCAAGTAGTAGGAAGGCACTGGAGTCACCACAGGCGCTGCTGTGCCAGGAGAGGGGGCTTCGGGATGTGCGGGCTCCTGGGAAGGCCTCACCTGCTCGGACCATCAGCAGCTGAACTCGCATGGACACAGCGCACCCCCACAGCCGCACCCACACCAGAGCTGTAAGGGGACAGAGAGTACATGAGGAGGAGCCAGGGGTGCCCCGAGATATGGTGATGGGCTACTGCGGAGCAGGGATGGGGAAACTGCAGCCAGGGGCCAAATCCAGCCCTCAGCCTGTTTTTGTAAATAAAGTTTTATTGAGACCCATCTATTTTCACGTTGTCTGCAGCTCTTTTCACAAAGGCAGAGCTGAGTAGTCTTGACAGAGACCATCAGGCCTGCATAGCCAAAAACGTTTACTACCTGGCCCTTCACAAAGGAAAAAGCCTGCTGGCCCCTGGTCTCCAGGGTATGTGGTTTTCATTTTACACTGCTCTCATTTTTTCCATTTTCTGTTTGTTTTACAGTGAATATGTATTTTATTTCTAGGGAAAAGGCCTTATCAAAACAAAGCACAGTCAGCCCTAACCCATGCCCTCCTCAAAGCCCCCAGATTCCACCATTAGGAAGACCCTCTTCTTAGATCTGCCATGTCCCTGGTTCACAGTGCTGGGGGTTCAATTTCCAGGCTCTATCCTCACAGAGGGCCTGGCGGCCACCTGTTTTCCTATACTGAGAAAGCCTGCATGGGGCTACCATCTTAGCAAATGCACTGACTGCCTTCCTATGACAAGTAACGAGTCCTGAGGGCATTAGAGCAGGTGGATGAGGGTCTGAACCCAAGCTCTGTCACTGTGTACTGTCACCACTGAAGGGCCCACATACCACCTGCTGGAGATAGACTGCTGGCCCCAGTGCTGCCCCATTTGCTGTGTGACCTGCAGGCAGGTCCGTCTGTTGTTGCTCTGAGGCGCTCTGCTCCCACCCCCCCTCCCAGTCTCAGCCCTCCCTGCCAGGCCCTCATGATGGGCAATCAGAGTCAGAGACACAGGCACTCACCAAAGAGCAAGGATCGGGCGGAGCAGGCTGGGAGCTGCAGAGAGAGAGCCACAGGGTGGGGGCAGTGAGTTACACACAGCTTCAGAGGTGACAAATTCAGGCTCCTGGATTGGTCAGGTGTCCCATCAGGACCCCGCCTGGCACACCCTCTCTCTTACCCCCGGTCTATCTCAATTCCACTTAACAAACGTTTGGTCAAGAGGGATCTTTCAGAATATGAACCAGACAGTGCCACTTCCCTGCTTAAAACCCCACAGCCCCTGGGAGAAGAGCCACGCTCCACACCTGGGCCACATTCCCTTCCTCATGTGTGTCAGTGTTGCTCTTGCCTCAGCATCTTCACACGCGCTGTTCCATCCACAGGGAAAACCCTGCCCCACATGTGCAAGTGGCCAGCCCTTCTCGTGGGCAGGTTTCAACACAAATACCTGGGTCTCCACCAGCTCCCCAGGCCTCTCAATCCTGTCACCCTGTTCTGTTGTCGCCTATGCATACTTGTATGGTGCCTGCGTCCTGGGGCTCCTCAGTGTCTCCCAGCCTTAGCTGTGCCTGATGTGTGTCAAGTAAACGAACCCACAGACTCCAGCACAGAAGACAGGCTAGTTGCCCAGCCCGTTCCACTTCTGTTTGAGTTGCCCTTCTTTGAGCCTCAGTTTCCCCACCTGAACATTTAGGGCTTTGCATAAGCTCACAGCCCAGTAAACGCCCTTTATGAGTCAGTAGACTTGGGAATTTGCATGGGAAAGAAAAATAACCTCTACGTTGTCACCTGCAGCTTACTGAAAATTGGTCTTTCTTCAATTCTGAAAGTCACCAATAAACCACAGGACCTGTCTTAGCAGGACCCTTGGTTTTCACCAACAGATATCACAGGCATTTACTAACGGTATCACAGGGGCTGCATACATCTTAAAGTAACGTGTCCACCCCACCTTCAAAACCATAGCAATCGGACCTGCCCCTGGACCTCGCCACTCCAGACGTTAATAACGAAGCGCCTGGATGACGAACTCACCAACCCGGTTTCGATACAAAATCCTGACACCTGTCTTGGGGCACTGCTTTCCTTCGCGACACTGTGGATTTCATGCTATGCGTTAAATCACTAATCTGAGGGGAAAGGTCCCGGGAACAGGGCAGGGTGGGATGCCCGCGCTGCGAATGACGTCATCTTCCCGGAGAGTCCCGGTCCCTCTCTGGGCCTGTTTCCCCGCGTCGGGGCTGCAATTCCCGCGCCTCCTCTCTGCCGGGAACTTTCAGGACAGCACCCAGGGGCGAGCCTTGGCCCCTCTGGCTCCCGCCCTGGCGCACTCCCGAGGCTGGCGGTCTGCGTCGCTCCCCGGGCCTGTTTCCCGAGTGGCCCCTAACCCCGGTGCCCCGACCCACTCACCCGTCAGCGCTGCCATCTTGGTCTCGGCCTTCAGACAACCTCTGAGATCCGCCGGCTTTAGCGCTCCGGGTCCCAGGGGCCGTCACCTAAACCACTTCGGCTGGTGCGCGGAAACCTAAACTCAGGCCCGGAACGTTCCGCCACCATGGACAGCCCCACGCCTCCAGTCCCACGAGGGACAGCAGAACAGGGGTTGCGCGAGGAGCGCCCCTGAAAAAGCAGTTGTGCCGCCCACCTTCTTCTTATCCCGGGAAGCAAAAAAAAAAACCCACATCCGTCCCTGGGTGGGCTCGAACCACCAACCTTTCGGTTAACAGCCGAACGCGCTAACCGATTGCGCCACAGAGACAGCACTGCAGACTGCTGTCAGGTGTGGCCCTACGAAGCATACATTTCTTGCTGAACGTGGGACGAACAGTATTTGAAGGCGGGTGCCGCTGCACGGGAGGAAGTAGAGGCAAGAGCGACGCTTGCCGCTCAGCCGAGATAGCTCAGTTGGGAGAGCGTTAGACTGAAGATCTAAAGGTCCCTGGTTCGATCCCGGGTTTCGGCAACCCGTTTTGGTGTCTTAAGCGAGCATCCGGGCTGGTCCAGTTTCTCCCTTCTCCAGAATGTGTCGTTATTTACTTGTTTTCCCCAGAATATTACCCCATTCTGTAAATGAAGGGCAGGGTTGCTGCTAACTCATGCCAACGTGGGGCGGACAGAACAAGGCACTGAAAATTCCTGTCCCTACAACCAAGACTATGATTCCAGCCCAAAAGTCCTCTTTCCCCATCCCAATTTCCCGTTTTTGTTTTATTTTTTCAAATTAAATGTTTTTATTTCTCTCAATTTTAAAAATGTGAACATGCTGTAATTCAGCCACAGCCTTTTACTTCCAGGTGATTTCTTCATTGGGTCTCAATTCCCTTTTAAATAACAAACTCTTGTTCCGGAAGGCAGTTAGCGTTTCATCATTCCTTCTGTCTAGATAACATCCAAAGACAAATCCCATAGGGACAAGAATATGCACCCAATGGTCACGCACAATCTTAATTATGTTCATTATGAATGCTGCAGTCTCAGGGCCAACAGCGACCCCTCGACCAAGGGCAGAGACGCCCAATTTCCTGTTTTTAAAGTGGTAGCATTAGAACCTGTGGTAATTGTAATAATGAACACTACTAACACCAAAACTGGAAAAAGTTTGCAAAAATACTTTCCACTTGAATGTCGTTTCATTTTGACAATCTGAGTATCTGTTGTGCCCATTTTACATATAGAAAAACTAAGGCCCAAACAGGCTAATGTGGATGAGTGGCAGGGATGGCCTCCTAGCTGGTGTTGAGTTTAGGGAGCTCAAGGTCCCTTGGAAATGAGAGACATGGGTTGGGCTTGGGGTGTGTCACCAGGCCAAACCTGCTTGTTAAAGGGGAGACACACAGGAGGGAAGAGCAGAGGAAAAGGGCAGCTGTCTGATGGGGCTCTGAAATTCTGGTGGACGCACAACCCCCCTTTCCCTTTAGTTTCCACAACTGGCCATGCTCTGCAGTTGGGTTTTAAAATTTAAATAAACTTTGTATCTTAGCATACTCTGATTTATAGGAGTTACAAGAAATGGTTATCATGTTACATTGGCGTGATACATTGTCACAACTCCAGAACCAAGGTGGACACACTATTAACTAACCTCCCTCTTTACTGGATTTCCTGTTTCCCCCAATGGCCTGGCCCTGTGATGGAGGTACCCCAGGAACTGAGCCCCCCATCCTGTGACATCTGACACATCTGATGAGGCCTCAAGGGATCCCAGAGCCTCCCTGACAAACTGCTTCTGAATTTCTGACCAACAGAAACCATGAGAACGCTGATTCCAACCCCTGGGTATCTGGTGTAATTTGTTACACAGCAATAGATAATACTTCCCTGTCTCAGAAACCCAGGGAAGGGAGAGGAGAGGATGGAGGGGGAGAGAAGGGGAGAAGAGCGGGAGAGGTGAGAGAGGAAGGTGGGCAGTGGAGGGGCAGGGAGCACAGGAAATACCAGTAGTAGAGGCTGTGAATCAGGGTGGGAAGGGGATCCATGTTCACTGCGCAGACAGGCTTCTCTGTGGCCTGACATCTTACCCTGTGTCTGTACTGCCTTTTGAAAATCCACTTTCCAGATAGACTTGAAGAGATGCCAGCAATGAGAAGGCCTGCTCCAGGAATTGGTTCTGTAGAGACGTGCTGCTACCTCCCAGGGCTGGTGCTGGGGGAGACTAAACCCACCTTAGAGAAGGCAAAGGGCTGTCTTGGGCCTGGATGACCTGGCTGGGGAAGGTAGGGTGGGGCAAGTGCCCCAGCGGGCCCTGGGGGGAAGACATGCTGAGATGTAGGCTTTGAGACACTAGCTAGACAAAGTCCATTGGGAAGGGGTGGAGGAGGCAGGCAGACAGGAGTCACTGCCTGCAGGGTGGTGACAGTGACGATGAAAGACGCAAGACCCCATGGGTTAATGGGGCTTGCTCCTGGCATCGAGTGGCTGGAGCCAGGGAAGCTGCTCAACCCCTTGCAGTGCCCAGGATGGCCCCCCACAAAGAATGACTGGCCCCAGTACCAACAGTGCCAAAGGGAGAGCCCCCTGTCGGGGACACAGGCTCAGCTGCTCAGAGTGAGGGGTTGGAGGGAAGCTGTCACCATGGTGAATGGGGGTGCAGGAGGGTGCCCCAACTGGATTCCCCATGTTGTGCTGGGTGAAGTTGGTCTTCTCCATGCTTCCGAAGCAGCTGGCCACCTCTCAGGCCTTCTAGAACATTCCTCACTTGGCAGGCTAGTCAGTTCAGCTGGCTGTGACTTCCTGAACTACTGCCACCACCCACTGGAGGGAGAACAGATCCCCACCTACCCCACCACCCACCATCCACAGCTCCAGTGGCCTCAGTACGAAGTTTGAAAACAAACACCTTCAGAATCCAAAAAAACAGTGAGCACTGAATGTGTTGGGGCGCAGGACCCGGATGTGAGGCAGAGACCCCGATTTAGAAGCCTCCCTAGACGGGGCCCAGAACCCACTGGAGGGAGACTATAAGCAGGGCCCAGGAAAGCAGAGACAGAGCTCAGAGGGCATTGACTTCCCATCTGAACAGCCTTGGAACACTGAAGATTCGCAAGAAATGAGATCATAACACTTCACAATAACGGGATAGCCCCACGTGGGCCATGGGGTTTCCACCAAGGCCAGGCAGACATTTGTCACCGCGAAGAGCAGCTATGTATTTGCACGTCAGGAACTGTTCCAAACCAACAGGTCTCAAGGAGGGTCCGTCGGCAGATGGTGCAGTCGGACTTTCCTGGAAGGGAGCTAGTATGGGTGGGGTCATCCTGTGTGGGGACAGGGCCTCTGTCTAGGAAGAGTGACCTGTGCAGGGCCAGGCTCTGCAGCATCCAGGGCCTTCCCACCAAATGCAGGCGCCCACCCCTTCGTGTCAGTTCTGGGCCTCCAAGCTGTCCCCCAGGAGCCGGGACCCAGCCGGATGCCCCTCGGGCCAACTTCGGAGGGACCACGGCAGGGCCCAGGCCATACGCCTTGATTTCCTGCTCTTATATTCGAGCAAAATCCACTGAGGAATATCCCTGGCCAGGTTCTGGTGCCCCAACTTCTCATGGCACGTCCCACTCTCTAACCAACCCGAGATGCTTTGTACAGCTCCCTACTGCTTAGCTACCAACCACCCAGCCACCTGCCCCCTGCATCCCGTGGGAATCTCCTTCTGATTGCCCTCCGTAGTGACTCTGGTTGGGTGAGGGGGACATCAGGAGAGGGCCCCATCGAGTCACTATGGTGGGGGTGCTGACCCTGCTCCAGTGACAGTGCAGCCAGGGTGTTGATGATGGGCAGGCCCTCAAAGTTAATGTCACTGTTTACTGTCACATAGTGTCGCACCAGCTTAGAATAAATAACTTGGTGTGTGGCTGTGATGGGTATCTGTTCGAGGACTGGCCAGTGAAACAAGCACAGGCCTGCACAGAGCTGGGGCCCCAAGCCAGGGACCCTTTGGAGCCCTGGGGCATGTCTCATGCTTCAGGCAGGAATGTGAGTCCCACTTCCATGGCTTCCAGACCAAGGACCAATGCCAGGGCGGTGAGCTCATGGTGTGAGCCCATGGCCCACGGCCCAGGCTGTGCACACGGTGACCTTAGTTGTCCCATGTGGGAGTGGTGGCCACATGGATCGTCACAGCTACCCATGCAGATCACCAAGACCACAACACTCAACCCTGGGACAGATGCATGGAAATCCACAAGGGACACAGTGGGCATGGCATTCAGCTGGACCGGAGACTCACTCCCCACATGAGACTGGGAGGAAAGGTCTCCTCTGCCTGTCTGCTGTTGTGCACAAGCAACATGGCAAACGCTGAACACAAGAGCAGCTAGTCTTAAGTCCCACCTTACAAATCCTGGTTTTCCTTGGAAACACACAAGGAGGCACAGCGGGCTCAGGAAGCACCGGAAGAGGAAATCGCGCAGAGGAGGAAAGAAAACTAGAAAAATATGCCAATACCTCTGGAGCTACACATTCCCACCAGACGCTTTCAAAACTCCTGTTTAATATCGGATACAATACTTTTTAACATAAAAAACAAATGTGTACCTTATATTAAACTATTCAGTACAGTCACAGTACAGAAAGCAGTCAAATAAATCACTCTTGTCCTTTTAAAAACCTTTCAGAAACTGTACCTTCCAAAAAAAGCCAGGAAAAGAGAAGCCACAGCCAGATCCGACACACAGGTCCTATCTTCAGTGTGATAGAACAGGGCCTGCGGGCAGATGCCACTACACATGACTGCTGTTCCCACGTCAGTATCGCTGGTTCCTTTCCTCTAGGAGCTGGTTATCAAATATTTCTTTTTCCCTTCAGAAGACAAAAGGCGACAACATCATTTTAGTAATTAATCGTGTTTTGAAGAGCATGAAGCAGAGGAGTGCTTGATGGGGATAGTGTCAGTCTGGGAAGATGGAAAGTTCTGGAGATGGATGGTGGGGACTGAGCTGTGCGCTTAAAATGGTCAGGGTGGTAAAGTTTGTTATGTGTATTTTACCACAACTAAATAAATAAAATTTTAAAGTATAAATACCAAATTGTCCTCATTAAGTGAATTCTTGTTAAGGAAAAGTGGATTGACAACTACCTAGCTGGCTAACACTCTCAGGACAGAAACAGGAACATGGATTCAGAGGTGGGCCCTCAGTGAGGGGGTGCAGGTGTGTCAGTTCAAACAAAAAACGCTGGGCAGCTGGGCAGTGCTGAGGTCCAGTGAAGTCGGGTCTGAACATGGCCTCTGAGATGTAACTTATAAGACGAAAGGGACACAAGGGTGGACAGCTTACGTGACAGACCGACCAGGCAGCTGGAAAACTAATTGGTACCTGGGCAGCTGGTTAGCTCAGGTGGTTAGAGCGCAAGCTCATAAAACCAAGGTTGCCGGTTCGATTCCCACATGGGCCAAGGAGCTGTGCCCTCCACAACTAGATTGAAACAACTACTTAACTTAGAGCTGATAGATCCTAGAAAAACACACTGTTCCCCAATAAAAGTAAAAAAAAAAAATAACCTAACTGGTACCAAAGGAGAGAAATGGCTACCACTCACTAATTGAGTCCTGACCACAACCCTGAAGAAGTAAAACGGGGCTGGCGTATTCACCCTAATTCCCGCACGTCAGCTGGTGAACCACATTTTCAGGGGCGTTGGCCATGTTCATGGCAGGAAGAGGCTGCAAAAAGTCCTACCATTCTTGGTGCTGGCGAGCCAGCGGAAGGAAGAGTGTGGAGACAGAGATGGTCACGGGGCAGGAGGCTGCCCCCCATCTTTATTTATGCATCGAGAGTGCCCAACCCAAGATCCGGGACAGAGATGCCACGTTTCTGCTTCCTAAGGCCCTTTCTGTATGTCAATCCAGCTGCACGCTGGGCCAACATGACCCTGCTGTGGACAGCTGTGCAGGAGGCCTGCCACACAGGCACATGCCAGGATCTGCTCGGGAAGGACAGTGTCAGTGACAGTGCCCAGTCGGCCCTGGACAGAGCCCCTGGCCGGTGACTTGAGTCTTCAGTCTGTCACTGGCATGTGGCTCTGCCTGTTCCCAGCAAGGCCTGGCAGCACGCCCAGAGTGGGATTAGGGGCGCCGAGGCCAGGAATCCAAGGGCAGACGACCACACCAATGTGAGAAATGTCTTGATCAGAGCACTCTCTGACCAGCTAGGACCCACCAGGCTGACTGCTGCGGCTTAATCAGCCTATCCTTAAACAGCCACAGAACTGGAGCAAGAGGGCTTGGACAAACGATGGCCCCACAACAGGATGTCAGGTGAAGGGGATCGCGTACGCATCCAGCCATCAGCCTGGCCATCAGTGCAGGCTGCTCTGGGGCCTGGGTTCGGATCCAGCTCTGCCCACTCCAACCAGCTTGGGACCTGCGCCCACTGCCCAAACTCATCAGAGAATAGGAGTGTCCACTGCTGGCTTCCTTAGCCAGGTGCTAACATTTTCAAGTTAACACGACTCATTTACCAAGCAATCACCTGGACCAACATGTCGGGAATTAGGGGCCTCAGTCATAGCTCCCAGCGGGTGTAGAAATACAAGCCTTGGAAATAAGCCGCAAAATGGTTGGGAACAGGGCCCTGAGTGCATACCGGTAGCCGAGCGAAGGTCCTTTGATGTACTTTTCCTCGGCCGTCTTATAATCCACTGCATCCACCGCAGAGATCGCACAGATGATGGCCTACAAGAGGATAACAGTCAGCTAGGGCCAGGCCAGCATGGCGCTGAGCTCTACAGGGTCCACATGGCACAGTCGAGTGCATGCCAGCCTCCAGATGCGTCCCCATTTCCAGCTCAAAAGATGCCTACGTAACTTGAGACCTCTGCTGTAACAGAGTTTCTGAATTAATTCTGAAATAGCATTACCTTCTGACTACAGATGAGCATTCCCATCACTAAAAGCAGAGAATAAAAGGCAGCCCCCAAACCAACAAGTAACGTTTTTAAAATTTTTAAGTTTGGGCTGGCCAAGTGGCGCAGTGGTTAAGAGCTGGCTTGGGATGCCAGAGGGCCCCGGTTCGGATCCCACATATGAGGGCCAGTGACACTGCCCTCCACAGCTAAGATGCTGAACAACAGCTCAACCTGGAGCTGGGCTGCCGTGAGTCGCCGGCGACGGGTGACAGTGTAGGCTGCAGCACCTGCTGTAGTGGGTTGCCATGGTCTACCGTGTATGGCCAGCAGCCGCAGTGAGCGGCTGTCCAGAAGCGCGACTGATCTGCCTCGCCCGGGAAGAGTGCAATGATGGTGCCAACTTGGGCCAGTGAAGTAACGTCCTCCACTAGAATGAAGAACAAAAGGATAGCAACTTGTCTGCTCCCCTTCCCCCAAATCTCCAATAAAAATCTTAAAAAAAAGAGACAGGCTTTTAAAAAAAAAATTAGTATTGTGGTTACACCACACCAAAAGACAATGGAGCCAGGTCATTCTCTGTGGGACATCCTGGGCACTGTGGGTGGTGGAGTAGCATCCCTGGCCCTATACACCGGAGCCAGGAGCACCCCCAGTGTGACAACCACAGATGTCCCAAAAAGGTAGAATTGCCATTTTAGAGATGCACAAGGAAGTATTTGTGAATAAAAAATGTTTGGGGGTGGGGGATGGGGGTTGTTATTTTGTGAGGGTGAAAAGGATAACTATTGCATTGTTCTGTACACCTGAAACTATCAATAAAATTTTTTTTTTTTTAAATTTGGGGGTTTTTCCCTCCAAAAAACTAGTCGGTGGGAGGGGAGGACTGAAGGCACATATGGAGTCAGGTAACTATTCCGCTGGTAATGAGCAATAAAGGTTCACCACACAGTTTTACTTTTGTACATTGTTTGAGTTTGATGTCTCATCTGCACTGTGAATCCGCGCCACACAAGGCCCTCTGAATTTCACCCTAACCCAGCAGCCACATCTGCTTCCAGCCTAGCCCAAGCCCAGCGAGCATGTGCTAAGGAAAGTCAAAACTCCCTTTTCCTGAGTAATTTCTCGAACAGGCACTACCCACACACACACAGGAAGTGTGCAGCTTATTCCTCCAGTGCCAGCAACAACTTTGGGACAGCCCGCCCTGTGCCACTGCCCACAGGGTGGCTGGGCGAGCACCAGGCTCCATGCTGCCAGGGCCTCCCCGCCAGCCACTCACTTCAGGCAGGAGCACGTCCAGGATGAAGCGGACCCTGTCACCATTGGCCCGTGTCAGCGCCCGGCTGCCCATCTCTTGGTAGACACGCTGCAGGTACTTCACCACCAGGTCCAGCTGCTCCTCGTCCTCCAGGTACGTCTCCACGCACGTCACATACTGGCCCGAGTTCAGAAACATCTTCAGCCACCGGGACGGCTTCTTGTTCTTCAAGATGGCCCGCAGGTGGCTCTCAGCGCCCCTTGCCTTCACGATGTACTCTACCAGCTTCTGGTTGGCGCGGTCCCGGGCGGCCCGTGACCTGTCAGGCAGGACTTTCCTGCAGGACTGCCTCCTGCCCCAGAGGATTCCTACTGTGGGCTCCTCGGGGTCCTCCTGGCAGAGCTGAGGGAACCGGGTACCCAAGACATCCTGCTGGATGGACTTGCGGACAGGGTAACCTGCAAAGGAGGCACACGCCATGGGACTGCCAGCTGGCCAGGTGGGGTCCGTTCACTACGTCTTGAGCTGTGGTGGGCAGGACCCCTTATCTGCCCCAGCTCTGCCCTGCAGCCAAGTTTAACCTGAACAAACAGAGCCCCTGCCCCCAGGAGCAGCACTAGCTCATCCACCTTCCCTCTGAGGATGGGAGGAACGGGACAGTGTGTGGCTATCACTGCCTGAAACATCGAGACAGTAGAGCAGAGAGAAAATGTTGTTTGAGTGTTAACATTCGGGCGTCATCGCACTGGCAGCAACAAGGTGGTGGCGGCTGTGGACCTGCTGTCCAGATCCCATGGCAGGGAGAGGGTAGCAACACCGGATACCCCCAAGGCCTTGGGCAGTAACAGCTGCTCATGCGAAAGGATGAGAATGCCATGGACTCACTGATATCAGCGGCGTAGTATTCCAGGAAGGAGCCGGAGAAGGAACCGCAGCCTGCAGATGACACAGGGGAACGTCAGGCAAGGGACACATGCCCCAAGCCCACCCCTTCCGGCAGGTAGGCTGGTGCAGCACGGGGCCTGGGCTCCAGGTGACCAGCCTGATCCAGAGTCCCCACAGCCCAACTGGGGGCGGACAGAGACTCTGAGTCCAAGGGGCCCTGTCCTCTGTCCACGCCCAGCATCCCGCTGCCACCAGCCTGTATGGGAGACACGACGGTCAGGGGGATGGCCCAAATCTGGCCCTTGCCATACAGAGGAGGCCCTGTGCTGCTATCCCCACCCACTCCCTTAGTCCCAGGCTGTGGAGGCCCCACGTACCAAGCCGGACCCTATAGTCGGTGATCAGGGACACGCACCAGCCAATGGCCTGGTTAAAGTCCTCCTTAGCCTTATTCTGCAATGAAATAGATGGTGGGCATCAGCAGGAGGCTGCAGGGGCCCCTCCCCATCCTCATCCAGCAGGGGCCCTGGTAGACACCCGTGGAGGCCCAGGTCAGGGAACAGGCTGCTCAGAACCTGCGGACTTAAAGGGGAGGGGAGGTACAACCGCTGTGACTGTGGGCACGGAGGGAAACTTTAAAATCATGCCAAATAAACCCTTCAAAGAGATATCTCTGTGCCCAGCACTTAGACGGACGTCAGCCTGGAGGAAAGGACACGAGCCACCAGCAAACCGAGGACAATACCCCTGTAAGCTCCTGGGAAACACCCACAGGCACGACACGAACCCTGAGCACATCCCGCATTACCACCGCCTGGGCTGGCCAACCCCGTGGTTGCCGTATGTGGCAGATGGGGGATGAAAACTGAGTGGGCAGCTGGGGGCGGAGGGGCCGGGGGGCAGGGGGGGAAGGCCTTGCTGACTGACACCTGGGAAGGCAGACCATTTGGCTCTGCAGGGAAGAAGAAACACGGGACCCTACAGATGCCACAGAACCGTGACCATCATACAAATGCCAGTGGACATGTGAGAGCCAATCCATTGACAGCCCAGAACAGGCAACATGGCTGCCCAATGGAGGCGCAGTTCATTGTAACCTCGCCTCCCCTGCGCACCCACATCACAGGTGGACTGAGGACACGAAGACGGCCGCGGACACCCTCCAGGCTTCTGTGATAAAACCCGCTCTGTAGTGTTTAAGGCACATGGATCTCAAAGGTCCTCTGGGCACCCAGAGGGTAAGCTGTCAGGACCTGTGAGCATGCAGCACTGAGTGGGGTCGGTGGCTCCTGGCTGGAAGGTGCCCGGGGATCTGCGTGCAGGCAGTGTGGAAGGTTGTGAGGTGGGAAGCGGGCCACATTGAGGAGCACTCTGATGGGGACAAGCGCCCAGCACTGGTGGCGGGTTAGACGTCACGGTGAACCAACTTGAACATACAAGACAGACAGAGTGAGACACTCATCATGGCATACAAGGGCAGGCTGGAGTCTGTGTGGGAGCTGACCTTCCTAACGCGCAGTGCACCAGAGCCCGAGGCCGTCCATCCTTAGGGAACAGCACAGCATGGGCAGCGAACTCCCTGGATCCCAGCACCCCGAGTACATGGCTCAGATAACAGACTGCTCCCCACCTTGGACCTAGGACCCTGTGCCTGGATGGGTGGGGTGGGCGGGGGCTCCCGGCCGAGTCCAGTTTGGTTTGTTTTTCTGCAAGTTGTGACAACAGAAGCAGGGTTTCACGCTGAGCATATAGCATTATGAACAGGCCTGTGCATTGTGGCTCACAGACTCACATGTGACACAGCACTGATCCTAGAACCATGGGGACATGGCCACTAGAATCAGAGCAGGTCTTCTGGGGAGCGCCCTCGCCCGGACCCGTGCTAGTACTCAGAGTCACTGCACACACCTGAGGCCTGCTGTGCTAAGGATCTGGGGCAGCGGGGTTCCCACTCCAAGGGGCCCCGGTGCCCCGTCCCGCAGGGTGGCTTCCGAACAATCACCTTGGGAAGGATCCTAAAGAAGCAGGCCTCCTGCCCGAGTTCTCCACCACTTCACCCCCTGGCACAAATAGAGCAAACTGTCACCCATGCCACAGCCTCAGTTTCCTCCCCTAGACAAAGGGGAAGATGGGCGGCCACCTCCCAGCTGGGTGGTGAAACTCCCATGAAGGGAACCCCAAGAGCAGCAGCCAGAGCCGGCCTGTAGATGACCGACTGTCACATAAGCCGTGCTTTCAAGGGTTATGCAGAGGACACCGTCACCAGTCATCAAGTGAGCCACTCAGAGCAGCACAGTTAAGAAGCCACCTACCAGAAGCGCCTGCTTGTCCTTGCAGTCAAAATGCTTCAATCTTCTGAGAGGCACTGTGATGCTACAGGAGGTGGAGGCACAGGTTAGCACAGACGGATGTCACTGCATGACCTAAAGACTTCCTTCCTCTGACAAAGCTAGTGGGACTGCCAGGCAGGTCCTGGGGCCCGATTTCCATACCACTGGCCACCATGGGAGGGGTGGAATCACCAAAGGGCCAGAGGGTCAGAGAAGACCAGCTTCACATGGTCACCTTGGCGACGAGTTGACATACTGTCTGCAGAGCCCACTGGAAGTGGGTAACGCATTGTGCGCATTCTCACCCCACGCTGGAGGGCAAGTGGGGAAGGACGGGCATCTACCCACAGGGCAAACCTCAGACTGATGCAGGTCATGCTTCCAGACCTGCAAGGAGGGAGGCAGCTTTGCTAGTTTGTGGAAACGGGGGTCCAATGAGCATTGGGCTGGGTTGGAAAACTGGGCTGTATGACCAGCTGCTCTCAATACAGTCTCTGTGTGGCTGCCTTCCGGGGCTGGATCACCCAATGGGCCCTGGATGCCTGATCCCCGCTCCTACCCCAGACCGTCCGTAAAGAGCAGAGGACAATGGCTCACCCTCTCCCTTTGGGGTTCATGTGTCCTTCGATGAAAAGCACGCTGGCTTTCTTGTCTCTCCGCCTGACACTCTTGACCTGTGGGCAAAGCCAAGGAAACAAAGTGTCAAGAACCCAGGAGAGGGCCAGACGAGTGGCGCAGTGGTTAAGAGCTGGCTTGGGACGCCAGAGGGTCCCGGTTCGGATCCCACATATGAGGGCCAGTGACACTGCCCTAACCTGGAGCTGGGCTGCCATGAGTCGCCGGCGACGGCGTAGGCTGCAGCCCCTGCTGCAGTGGGTTGCCATGGGCTACCATGTGTAGCCAGCAGCCAGCATGAGCGGCCAGCAGCCACTGTGAGCGGCCATCCAGAAGCCAGTGACTGATCTGCCTCGCCTGGGAAGAGTGCAATGATAGTGCCAACTTGGGCCAGTGAAGCAACGTCCTCCACAACTAGACTGAAGAAAAGGACAGCAACTTCTGTTTCCCTTCCCCCAATTCCCCAATAAAAATCTTTAAAAAAAAATAAAACCCAGGAGAGGCCGTGGGTTTTAAATACTTTCCTGTCACCAACTTGTTGAGTGACAGTGACCGACACGTGACAGCTGGGGGGCCGGGGCAAAGCCCACATGGTAACACACTCAGGAACCACCCAAGTTTTGCTGCGTGCATGGCTCTGAGTAGTCTCATAACTGAGCAGAACCAGGCAGGGTTTTCTTACATTTTTTAAATAAAAGGAACTACAACTACTGCCGCCTGCCAACCACCTGTATGTAACCGTCGTGGCTGACTGTCCCATGGCTAAACAGGGCAGGTTCTGGACCAGCCAAGAGCACACAGGCAGGAGGCAGGCCCAGCTCCAGCCCCTGGCCATGGCCTATGAAGGCGGCCAACAAGCCTTTGCACAGCACCTCCCAGGCCGTACACCGAGCGTTCATAGCAAGGGGGCTGCAGATGCTCACACCCAGACATCAGTCACACTAGTGGCCCGTTAACAGGCAGGACGCCCAAGGAACTGGTAGAAACAAGGAAAGGACTGTAAGGGCCAGGAAAAGGGTGCCCACTGCAGGTGGGACACGGCACCTGCTGGGAGGCGGTGCTGGAGGAAGGAGAGGGCCCCCAGGACTGTGCCAGGGACTGTGCTGAGATGCCTGCTCACCAGACATGTGTTCAAGATACACGTTCTACCCACAGGCACCCTGGGTTCTGGGTCTGTCCTCCCACAGCCTTGTTTTCCGTGCAAGGAGGCCCTGCTGACTGCAGCCAGACTCAGTGAGACGACAAGCTGCCCCTGACTGCCAATAACCTTCCAAGTTATACGCCATCATCTCCTACTAAAAGAACTACAGCTAGAATCATGGAATCCTGTCTCTGCCAGAGGAGGTTAAAAGGGAAGTTAAGGGGTGGGAGGAGCCGGGACAGGTGGCCTAAAAAATAAAACTGACCGTTTGCAGCGTCCGGGTGTAGAGAAAAAGCAAAGTCAGCAACTTGGCTACATTTGAGCTCATCCACCACACTGGGGCGCTGGGCAGGATCTCAAATGCCTGTTTCATATGGACAACGGCTCCATACCTCAAATCTAAAACATTAAAAAGCTCCCACAGGGGAGAAAGTCTGAAATGCACACTATTTAAAATGAGCAAATTGTGGATTCTTTTTCAAGCAGGTTTTTGTAAGCCCGCTTGGTAAAAATTTGACCTGTGAACCTCACACTCAATGGTGCCACATGACTAAACAAACCCCCTTTATTTAGGTTCACGTGTCTCCAAAAACCCTGCTTATAGGCCCATCATTTTCCCCAATAATAGTGAAAGAGTGAACACATTCACCCAGGTCCACTGTCGAGAACAGAGGGCGAGGCGGGTGAGACGGAATGCTGTTCTTACCACTGCTGGCCAGAAGGGGTATTTTTGGTATTTAAGCCAGACTAGCATTCCTACTTCAAACGAAGGTGGTTCTAGAATTAAAAAGAAAGAAAAACAAAAGGAACAGGCACGTTAGATCCATGTCAAGCAGCAAATGCAGCAGTGTGAGAGAACAGTTACTGCAGTAACATTTAAACCCGATGTAACACGACCCACTGAAAAGGTCACCAGGACTGGAAAGGCAGGTCTCTAACTCCCATCGCTGGAGTCTAAGGGCCAACTGTGACCATAGCTTGTGGTTAAGAGCACGGTGCAATGCTCTTAGACAATGTGCTGTGGTCACGTAGTCAGTGACATGAAGGGAAGCTGGTAGGAGGGGACGCTGTACCACCTTTGCAACTTCTCTACAAATCCCAAGTTATCCCAAAATAAAACATCTTCTAAAAGGAGCGTGGAACAAAATAAGAAAGGCGCCAGGAACACACAATGAAGACCCGTGTGGGGACTCAGTTTCTAAGGAACTGGGGGCTTTTACAGAGAGAAAGACAGAATTACTTAATCATCAGAGAGCTACAAAATTATCTATGAACAAAATTAACAAAATTAACTATTTCCCACCAGAAAACTCCAGAATGAGGAAATAATTTAAATGCTAAAAACATCAGGTAGGGCCGGCCGAGTGGCGCGTTGGTTAAGAGCTGGCTTGGGACGCCAGAGGGCCCGGTTTGGATCCCACATATGAGGGCCAGTGACACTGCCCTCTACAGCTAAGATGCTGAACAACAGCTCGACCTGGAGCTGGGCTGCCTGCCGTTCGCGATGGCAGGTGGGTTGCCATGGGCTACTGTGTGTAGCCAGCAGCCAGTGTAGCCAGCAGCCAGTGTGAGCAGCCATCCAGAAGCGGGCGACTGATCTGCCTCGCCCAGGAAGAGCACAATGGTGGTGCCAACTTGGGCCAGTGAAGCAAAGTCCTCCACAACTAGACTGAAGAACAAAAGGACAGCAACTTGTCCAAAACAACAAAAAAACAAAACAAAAAACATCAGGTAACATCAGCAAGCAGAGGCTAGTGTTTGGTGCAGAGCCTGCCGCTACTGTTGGACAAGGGGAGCTGGCTGGCCCACGACCCTACAGGGAAAGGTCTATGGGCGAGGCAGAAAGGGGGCCAAAAAGGCGGCCTCCCACAGACCCGTGAAGAGCAGCTGCCCTGTGAGGAGCCTCTTTTCTCTGAGGACAATGGGTCATGGACGCAGACAGCCAATTCAGGACCCGGCAGTAAATACCCAGACAGACAGGGCTGATGGGGAAACCCAAACCAAACAGAGGCACAAAGCAGGAGAAAAAGCAAACATCCAGGTTTGGGGGGCTGAGGGAACTGACCCCTAGCTGGTGGCAGTGAGGATGGAAATGCCCCTTTGGAAAAAGGCACAGTGTCCCTTCTCTGTGGCCCAGGAAGCCCTGCTCCAGGAGCTGATGCTACAGGGTTATTTCCCAAAAGCACATGGCACATGCAATGGGGCCCCACAGCCACGGGATGGTCTAGACTCCGACAGTGAGGGAGGCTTAGTAAGGGATCTGTGTCACGCCTAGTACATGATATCCAGTCGCCACTGAAAAAAGTGAAAACATAAAAAATGTCTGACATTGTTACATTAGAAATAGGACAATGCAAACTTAAGTCAGCGATACAGTGAAGGAAAAGCAGCGAGTGGTGGTTTGGGGAAAATCGTGTGCCCAGAGTGTGCAAGTGGTAAGACATGGGATAGCCCCAGGGCTGCACCCACATCAGCTTCCTGGTCTGGCAGGATGTTGCCATCGGGAGACTGAAGGACAGGTCCCTACCCCTCCCTGTGCTACTTCTGCAACATCCTGTCAATCTGTAATTCTTTCCAAAACAAAAGCTTTAAGAAAACAATGGATTAGACTCTGTTGAGATGAGTGGCAAGTCTAAGGAGGTGACTGTCCCTGATCGCTTAGTTAGCGAAGCTAGTGGGGTTCCGGGCTGTGACGCTGTCCACGGTGGTCTGCCTGGTGCAGGCAGCACATGGGGGAGAACGCAGGCTCCTGAGACACACAGAGAGCATCCCCAAAGGACTGAGGGGCACCAGGCCACAAGCCAATGGTGGTGGTGGGGCCCACCTGTGTACGTGGCTGTTCCCCTTCGTTCCCAGGAGGGGACACAGGACAAGGGAAGGAAGCCTCATGCTGACAGGGAGTCCCTCCTCCCTTTGTGTGGCTGTGTTTAAGGCAGGGGACGGAGTCCTCAGCACTTTCCAAGGTTTCAGTAGAAGAGAGGAAAAGAGAGCTTGGGCAAAGGTATGAGGACTGCACCCAGGGGGCTGAGAGTGTCCTGGTCGTTCCCGGGTCTTACCGTGATATAAAAGGATTCTTGGGAGCTCCTCCTCCTCGTCCTCCTCCAGAATGGAATTAATGGGGTCAAGCTCCATTGACTCTTCAGAAGAGGCACGGTCTGCCAACAATGTCAGGTTAGGCTTTCATGGTCATTGGCCCGGCGACTCACGCCAAGAAAAACATTTCGTGATACATAACCATCAAGAAAAAGACAGCAGACCCGTGTCACACAGACTTGCACACTGCCTGATTCAAGCAGGGTGCACTCCCATTAGACATTTAAAGGACAACTAAACGAGACAGAACAAGAGGGACACCCTCTGCGCTGTAGCTGGCAGATAGGCACAGGAAGCGATCAAAGTCATGTGAAGTGAATGGGGTTCTGGGGGGCTCCCTGTGTGGGACTCACTTCTTCCTGGTGTGAAGAGCATGGTGGATGTGCAGGGGCAGGGGTATAACAGGGGACAAAGCAGGCATGTGGCCACTCCCTTCAGTACACAGGGGTGCTGCCTGTGAACATGCCAGCAGGCAAGCAGGAAGTGTAGAACTAAAGGAGACAGAACCCTTGGCAGCAGGCGGGTGGTGAGTAGACCTCAAGACACCCTGCTGTGAGGAAATCAGGGTTTCCCAGTTAGCAGTTCAAAAGTCAGTGGGATGCTATGAAGTGAAAACGGAACAAAATGTCAGTGCGTGGCCGCAGGCACAAAAACATGTGCACACAGGAATTCCTGAGATGCCTCAAAGTGAGTTCATCACTGAGGGTTCTGTCTTCTTACTCACATAGCATGCAGGGTAAAGGAGTTAATCCTCAGGTGAAGGCATCTGTCCCCAAAGGTTCAGTCCCCTCCCTCCCCTGCAGATGTGGAGCAGCGCGAAGTGCTACAGCCCAGAGGGAGACACACACAAAAAGGACCCAGGGATGCCTGCTCTGGATCCAGTCTGGTAACCATCTCACTAAGATCCGGTTACAAACACATGCTGCCTGCCTGAGGGTCTGGGCAGGAGGACCACAGTACCACCCTAGCCCAGCGCCGGACAGGCCTTACCTTCTTCCAGGGCCTGAAGTCTCATGTTGTCCGCAGGTGCATGGGGAGCGTGCGGGCTGAGCCTGGTGGCACTGCGCAGAGTCATGCAGCCCTGCAGCCCTGACCTCTGGCCGCCATCCGGGCATAGCTGCTTGGCAGGCAAGCTTCGCACATCTGGACAGGCTGGGTGCAGAGCCGGGCTGCTCCATGGCAAAGCTGGGAGGCGCCCCTTGGCCCACAGACCATGTTCCCAAACTCGGGAAGGTGAGCTCAGGGCTGCCCGGTTGCCCGCCTCTTCCTCATTCTCTCTTTCCCAATGTCCCTCTGAAACTGAAGGACCATTCTGACACCCGCCGGACTCCTGTGCTGAGCTTCTTCCCCTTTTATTTGGGGTCGTCCGATTTTCAAGGTGTAGCCTTGATCCACTCCTGTCCTGAGAACCACCTCCGGCTGAGAACACCAGGGTAAGTGGGCTTTCTCTTTCCCCGAGCCCCTTCTTGTGGTCTACTTGGCACTTGGGGTCCTTTTCACAAGTGGGAGAGCCTGCCAGCCTCAGGTGTGCACATTCTCCCCTCTTAGGTCCAGAACTGCCCGACACAGCTTCATGGACTGAAGATGAAGAGCTGGGATCACAAAGCAAGGCAGCCGGTTCTGTGTGCTTTTCTCCTGAAGACCCAGCAGTCCCTTCCTCCTTTGAGCAGCTTTCTTGCAGCAAACAGGGTCTCTCATTCAGAACATCCAGAGCCACTCGAAGTGACCGTCTGTAGGTCAGCTCCTCCATGGGTTCAGCAGCAGCCTTGTTCTGTGAGGCTGAAGGGCGGGAGACAAAGCCTGGTGATGCCCAGATGCCCGGGTACCTCCATTACCATGCCTGACTCTGCCACCTGTTTTCTACCTGAAGGGATGACTAACACCTCTCCCTCCATCTTCCCAAAAGGGGACAGGACTACAAAAGCACAGCTGGCTGTGGGGCTACATTAAAAAAAAAAAAAAAATTGAGTGACCCTAGCCTGACTGGGTTACAAAGGTAAAATTCCTCCAGGTTACAAAGCAATCCTGCCAGCAAGAACACTTATTCAGATGTTTGGCAAATCCTCTCCCAACCTGATAACTTCCAATTCAATCAGGATCAAGGAGAACCCAGGCACAGGAAATACGGTTGATATATTGGGGGGGGAGGAGGAGGGCCAGGAGGGCCCGTTGAAAGGGCTCCTTGTGGCCATCATCCGTCCACACTTCTTTGCAAGGGCACCTCAAAGGCAGGAAAGAGCGCCTGGGCCCGGTGTTAGGCCTGGTCATTTACTCGGTCCGACACACAGACCTGGTGCTGTTGCTGGGAACCAGGTGACGGATGCAACCTCGCAGCTCAGAGGGCATAACACCTCCATCAACACAGGATTTCCCCTGTGTTATAGTAAAGGCACCCACCAGTAACGGGTCCCACAGACCTAAGCAAATACAGCAGCAACCGGGAGGGGCTGGTCGCCATGCAAGGATGTGCAGGGCTGGGTCCTGCTTTGAACAATAAACAGTTGTTCTTCCAAACACACAGGAAGAGACCCTTTTTTTACAAACACCACGGGAAAGCGTCTGGGAGACCTTGCACAAGGGATAAGCAGTGCCACTTTGAGGAGAAAACGTTGTGTTTGGGTTTGTGGGACTGCCAGGGTCCTGTCACCGTGAGGAGGGGGAGGGGGAGAGGGAAGGGTTGGGCTCAGGCCAAGTCTCCCACCTATGCAATGTAAAGTGGGCAGGGGGGGTGGGGAGGGGACTGCCATTTCCTGTAGACAATGGGTGGTCCCACTATGTCTTCTCCTTGGCTCAGCTTCCTAATTTAAATACACAACCTAGTGCTTTTGAAACCCTAGGCAGAGAGACCAGACCAGCAACATAACCGTTTTTTTCCAGTCTTATTATGGGACAAGGGAAAAGAGGAAGTCTTTCCCCTTCTCCTCAAGGAAGCAAACCCATTCCAGGTCTTGTACACCCTAGAGGCCAAGCGGATCCTTGCCCCAGGCCACTCTGGGAGTCAAGCACAGGATCGGGTTCTGGGGGCAAATTCTAGGAAGCTTTGAGAAAGCACATCCGTTTTCTCTCCCTCCTTGCGCTCACGCTCACGGAGCTCATGTTCCCGTGTGTAAAGGGAGTAAGTGGTATGCAGGGTCAATTTTCACCTGGAGGCCAAGTCTCCATGCTTTCCCAAACTGGCTTCTTCGTTAGGGCCTTACGGCTCCTCCCAAATCGTCTTACCCAGTAAGGAAGCGATGTCCTCGATGTGGGACCTCTTCAGGGTCTCCGCATTCTTGCTCTTCACCTTCATTCTGCAGGGACAGAAACAACCGTTACCCGCTGCACCCAAGACCTAGAGACATTTTCAAACATGTTTTTCTTTAAATGACAAAAGAAATTAGATGCGTTTTCTTCCTTCTCAACCTTTCACATAAACCAAAAGTTACAGCCAACTAGAAATTCATGTGCCTGAGGTTAGAGGTGGCAAGGCCCCTGGTGAGTGTAGTTTTGTTTTTCTTTTTCTCTTTTAAGATAGAAAAGGTACGCTGGATTTAAGACTAAAAATGAATTCAAATTGTGGCTTTTATGAGGCAAATCCTACTTTGAACTCCTTTGTTAGATTTTCAGAGTAGATAATAATGCCACTAAAAGCTGTTTATAGCCCAGCAAGTGTGTTTAAAAGGATGTGCTTTTCTTTCAAATTTGAGTATTCAATTACCTTCCAACCACAGGGAAAGTGTGAGCTGGGGACAAGGCAAACTTAGGAGGCAGCTGTGAAGAAAGAGGAGTGGGGACGGAGGAACCTACTGGGCTTTTAAAAAAATTTTCTATTTGGAATTGGGAATTCTATCAGACACATGGAAATCAGCCATACGCAATCTAGGCATTTTAACCTTCATTCTAGATGATCTTATGTCCTTTCCTGGACAAGAATACAGTGCACTGCCCATCACGGTGCACTGCCCATCACGGGCGTGCCTTGTGGCTGCCAAAGAACAGTTTATTAGGGGGACAGACTCAAAACCAGGTATTTCAAAATTGATAGGCCTGTCTCTCAAGTTTCTGAAAAACACACACAAATCCATGGGAAGGAAATACCCATCTGAACACCAACGACAAGCGTTTAACCTGTTTGTGATTCATGTTCATTCCATTTTGTACTGCTCTCTCTGGAGATCACACACAATAAATGCCTCGAGTAGATCTTCAATTTCCAAACTGATGTAAAAGAAAACCAGTTTTCCTCTTAAAGATATTATGAGCACTAACAGTTACAACAACTAAACAGTTAATAAAGCCCTTAGTCGTAGATTTCACTTTTTTTTGGGGGGGGGGGTTAAAAAATCTCATAGGGAAAAAAATAGTATTAAAAAAGACACAATACTTAACTTTTTGTCTACGGAGAGTATTTGAACTTTTAGAAAAAATTCCTTTTTTCTCTTAGTTGTTGACATCTCAGTTCTGGCCAAAACCTATGTTAAAAAAAAAAAAAATCCTTGTTGTTAAGGCACAACTAACAGTTAACAGTTAGAAGCAGTGGCAACACCTGGATACAAACACAGTGAATAATACTTGAAGAATACAACCACAGGACTTCAGAGATATTGCCTAATACTTATTTTGCAAATGGGGAAACTGAGGCACAAGGTCAGTGGCAAACAGGACAAGGTCGGGTTTGTGCTCTGCAGTCCAGCATTCTTCCCATCACTTTGCTGGCAAGTCTCCCCAAGACTCTCCCATTATTTACTATCACAGGGCTCCCTGCCAGATATTTCCTTGAGCTACAGCCTTACATGCCTTTTAGAGCTCTTAATTTTGTTTTTAGTGCAGAAAAAAAGGCACTTCCGGCAGTGTAACCTTGTAAGCACTCGACCAAAATCCCGTTAAATGAGGAATGAGATTCCGTGCCAACAGATACAGCAGCCAACTGTTCAGGCTCAATTATTTCACTGAAGCAACTCTTAGACCTCTCTTGATAAAGATTTTACTTGTCACCGAAAGTCATTTCTAATTCCTAAATTATACAATAATGCTGTCACCTTTGCAGGCCATAATCGCTCTCTCCATTTGCAGAGGACATACTTGGCGTCCGTCATGATTTGGACTCATGTGGCAAGTGGTAAGAATTTGGCACAAAGTGCTTGAAGGTCTGGTGCGACGGATCCTGCAAAAAAATTTGCATGGTGGTTTCTAACATCGTTTGCTGGCAATTTTAACGAACCCTCCAGGGTGAAGGTAATGGGACAATTATAACACAGCACAAGATGCCAAAAAGAGGTGACTGGCCCTACTCAGGGGGTCGCCTGGATTTTTTTTCGTAAATAAAAACAGCCGGATTCCCTCCCAAAGGTTGTCTAGATTATTTTTAAAAGGTTCCTTAATAAATCATCTCTGTGCTAAAGTCCACCTCCCAACTCAGCTCAGAAAGCGTTTTAAACAAAATTTACAGCCCTCCCCATTTGGGAAGCTCAGTGGACCACAGAGCAAAAAAAAAAAAAAAATCAGAGGGAAAGGACTGCTCTTTTGGCCGTCATGTCCCTGAAGGATAGGACAGCTGCAAATGCCTGTGACATCAATGGGAAGGCTGGTTGGGCTGTGACACAAACGAAAAGGAGGTGGGAGTTCGTTTGTGCAATGGGGGATTCACTCAGCAGAGGTGGGGGTTCAGACAGAGGAGGAGGATTAAGGCAGCAGAAAAGGAATTCAATCAGAAGAAGGAGTTCAGGCTGTAAAGGAATTCATGCAGAGAAGAGGGGGTTCAGGCGACAGAGGAGGGGGGGGTTAGGTAGCAACAGCAGGGGTTCGGGCAGAAGGGGGTTCCGGCAGCAGCAGGGGATAGGGTAGAACGGGGTTCGGACAGCAGAAGGAGGGATTCAGGCAGAAGAGGGAATTCGGGCAGAGGAGGGATCAAGTAGCAGGGGGACTGGGCTGAAGAGGAGTTCAGACAGCAAAGAAAGGGCTCGGGCAGAGGAGAGGATCGGGTAAAAGGGGGGTCGGGCAGCAGAAGCGGGGGGTTCAGGAAAAGGAGGAGGGGATCGGGTAGAAGGGAGGTCGGGCAACAGGGGGTCTCAGTGAAGCGGGGTCTCACGCAAGAGGGGCGGAGGTTCCCGCGGCAGCACGGGCCAACGCCCGGAGGAGCCTTTTTCGGGGTTCGCCCCTCCCCCCAGCCCGGCCGCCTCAGCTCCCGGCCCCACTGACCCGAGTGGTACAGCCCACCGGGTTCACCAGGCGCCCGGCCTCCCCAGCGCGGGGTCCCCAAGCCCAGCGCGGAGGGCGAGACGCCACGGCGACCCAACAGCGGTGGCACCCGTGCCGCCCAGACGCTACCGCCCACGCCCACGTCCGCGCTCACCTCCTCCGCCGCCTCCGCTGCTCTCCGCTGCTCCCCGCGGGCCGAGGGCGGGGCCAGGCTCGCAGCGCCGCCAAACTCCGCCCCCGCAGCCGACCAATGGGGAGCGTGCGACCGCTTCAAAGCCCCGCCCTTTCCGCCTGGCAGAGGGCGAGGTTGGCTGACTGACAGGTGAGCGCGCGAAGGGCAGACTGACTGACGGACGCGGGTGGGCGGGCACAAACTGACTGACGGATGCGAGGCTGAGTGATAGGAGCGGGTGGGCGGGCACAAAGTGACTGACGGGAGCGAGGGTGAGTGACCGTAGCGAGCGCAGATTGACTGATGGGAATCGGGCTGAGTAACGGGCCCGAGTCGATCGCGAGGCTGACCAGCGGGCGAGGGGGCGGCTTTCGTCTTCTCGACCGCTCTCCCGCTGGAGTGTATGAGTGGTTTTGGCCCAACATTCTTTGTAAACCGCCTCTGGGTGCCCGCCGCCTTCCGCTACTGCTTCCAGGCAGGCCCTCGGGGCTTGGCTTGGACCCTGTGAACTTTCGAGAGACTACCAGAACTTTCTAGAACCGTCGAGTTACTGAACTTCTCAGTTGAAGCGATTGGAGTTCACGGCCCCCCCCATGCACACCCGCAAAAGGGAATCGCGTGTTTGCAAATAATCCCCATACTTTGTCCAGTACCAAGGGAAGCAGGGACCCCGCGTGGACACCTGGAAGCTGGGCTCGGGCTATTCAGTCAAAGGGCGCCTTGACTCTCTTTTTAATATATTATTCACTATGATGCCAAATTTTAAGATTGAGATAAAATCGACATGGATCATGACCATTGTTCCCTTTATCCGTGGGGGATGTGTTCCAGAACCCTCAGTGAGGCCTGAAACCGCAGGGAGTACTGAGCCCTCAGACTTTTTTCTCCAAGCGGTTGACCCTGAACCAGGTTCGGGAGTGAGGGGTGCCGACCATTCATGACCGTAAATCTTACAACTTTTGACTACCATGGGCCCTTTGCAACATGGATTCAACCAGCCACATATCCATCATGATCGTCATGTCGATCCGAGGTTGGGGCTGAATGGGACCGAAGTTTTGCCACCCTGAAGCTGCCTTTTTGGGGTATTGATTTGAAGTTGCTTATTAAGAAAGGAAAGATTCAGAAAGAGCCTTTGACCCTCCTTCCTGTCCAAGACATTCAGATGGAAAAACCTGGTTTAGGACGGAAATCGGAAGCTTAGGATGTCACCTTAGCAGCCTAAGCATTGAGTATGATGGGTGGGAGGGTGTCTGTTAGCTAGATATCCCGAGTCCCAGGGAAGCAAAAATTTACCTGCAATGCGTGTTCCTCTTTTCCTAAATTACCTGTAAATCACCCATAAACCCCAGCCCCCATTTTTCTCCTTTCTCCAAAATGTCATGTGTACCCAATGTCACCTTGCTGTCTTTGGAGTTTTCATGCTTATGTGAATTCCCCTTGCACACATGTTAAAATTTTGATTTTTCTATAATCTGTGTCTGTAAATTTGATTATTATACCAGCTAGAAGGACTTAGACAGTGGGAGGAAAAGCCTTAATTTTTTTTAGACCCCACAGGTTTTCAAGCCAGCCAGGAGAAAAACCTCTGCAGTTGGGAATGTGGAAATACTGTTTTTGATCCGCAGTTGATTAAATATAGGGATGTGAAATCTGTGGATATGAAGGGCCGAGTGTATTTATTGGAAAAAACCCACAGATAAGTGGATCCATGCAGTTCAAACCTGTGTTCAAGGGTCAACGGTACATACAAACCTCTGATGAAGTTTAAATTATAAATTAGGCACAGTTAGAAACTAACAATGATAATAACAAAAAACAATGTGCAGTAATAAAAGTTTTTGAGAGGCTTTGGGGCTGTTAGTAAGTAAAATAAGAGTGACTTGAACACAAGCACTGTGATCTGAGTTGCTCTGACAACCAAGATGGCAGGAGCATGTACAGAACAGAGGGATGATTCACCTGACAGGGATGGTAGGGATGGAGTAGGCAGTGAGAAATGTCATCCCGCTACTTAGAATAGTGTTCAATTTCAAATTTATGAATTGTTTATTCTGGAACTTTCCTTTTAATATTTTCAGACCTCAGTTGGTTGCGGGTAACTGAAACCATGGGCTGTGAAACCGCAGATAGGGGAGACTACTGTATATTAGTGTCAGGTATACAATGTAACGATTTGGTATATGTATATATTTTCCATGGCCTCTTGACATGTTTTAATCCTGCGAGGACAAGGGCCGCCTTGTGGAAGTGTCCTGTCAGATTGAAATGAAAACTGGGGAATAGAGGTTCGGTTTACATCTTGTCAGCATTTAGGACCTCTCAGGTCCTGATGTGGCGCCGGAGTACAATGGCAGGAAAGGTGGGAAGGAGCAGTCTCCCAGGGCCTGACCCCCAACGCCTTTGCCTGACTCCTGGAGTGTCACATGACTCCCTCTTGTTTTTGGAATTTCCTATGTCAAACATGGCTGGTTTAAGGGGGATTGTCACTGGACACCTGTAAAGCTCCTGTAGGACGGTGACTGGCATTCACACCAGTGGTTGTAGTCAGTGTCAACTAGGTCAAGGTATGGTCAAGGTTTCCAGTGTGGTCCCCTTATGACCTAAGTGGGGACTTGAATGGATTAAAACACTGGGTGAGTCTCAGTTCAGAGGCTATTTTGATGTTACAGTTCAATCATTTTAGAAAATATAGATTCAGTTCTGATTCAGGCTGGGTCACTAGGTATGCGTGGAAGTGTATGTTTTAATCTTTGATTCAGTTCATGGTTCGGTAACAGACTTAATACATTTTTCACCCCTCATCAAATTAACAAAGATGAAAGAAGTAATCACGCCTGGCCCTAGTACAGGGTGTTAGATGGGCCATAACACAGGCGGCTGGGAAGTATGTATTAGTACCTTTCTGAAAAGCAACTTGACATTATCTGTCAAATGCCTTGAAAACATTTCCCACAATTTCCACTTCAGCGATTTATCACAAGGATACAGTCAGATGTACCGTAAGACATGTGTGCACCATGATTTATATCATGGAAAAAATCAGGAGTCACCTGAGCCTCTGATAATAGAGGTATGGTTAGCTCAAACAGGATGGAAAACATTTTTCCAAACATCTTGAGTAACAAGACAAAAATGTTTCTGATACATTTCCAGTCACACAGGAAATCTTCAAATGAAAGCTGGAACTGACTTCCAAGAAGGTTGGGTCCTGTTGGAGAATGTCCTCAGCAGCTCTGGCAGGCATGTGGCTGCTTTAGGAGCAGATCCTTTCATGCCACTGTGAGTCTCAATGACTTTGGATGTCTATTTATTCTTTAAACAAATATGTGAGAGAGTCCTTGGTGACAGGAACAAGGCACACAACGGTGAGGACAGTAGCTCTCAGAAAGTGCTGGCACGTCTATCAGCACTTCATAAACTTCACTTAACGCAAGAACACCAAAGGGCCGTATAATCGTTAGCCTGTTTGGGTTATCGTTGTACAACAAACCACCCCAAAACAGTGAACCGAAACAAAACTGATTTGGTTTGTTTCCAGTGCTACTGGATAACCTCCCTACCTTAAGGTCTCTAACCTCAGTCCCATCTGCAGAGTCCCTTTTGCCATGCCACGTGGCATATATAGCGCTTCCAGGCATGAGGGTATGGACATCTTGGGGGCCCATCTGCCCACTTCGGAGACCAAGGGAGAGTAGACGGCGTGGTCTAAATGCTGGACACATCGTGTCTGCCCCACATCGCACAGGTCCAAACAACCATACAGCTATACCTAGCTGCCGGCAGACTGGAAGGACATCTTTTCCTCTGGACCATGTGTCCAATCATAAATGGAGTTCAACCACTCAGAGAGAAGGGACATTGGAGGACAGCCAGCCAACCCTGACACAGCAAGACCTGTCCATACCTCGCCCCATGGGTGGTTAGAGGATTCACTGGGCCCCCTCCTTTAAGTGTCTCTCACAGTGCTTGGCACCCCACCACTGGGGCTCTAGGGGACACAGTGGGGCTAACTTCAGGGAGGCAGTTTTTGTGGGGTAGACAGCAGACCTGAGCATTCAGGTTGGCTCTAATCCCTGGACACGTCGTCTGGGTCTCAGTTTCCCCACTGGGAGTTGGGGAGACTACCTGTCTGTGGTGCGTGGAACCAGGGCAGGGTCCTGAAGTGTTGATGAGTGAATGACAAGTATGTAGTGATTGGACAGATGCCTCCCCATTGGGCTGCCCAGGGGACCATGCCAGAAAGCCCTGTGTAGACCAGAGCAGAGTTTCAGATTCTCGGGACCCTTACCCACAGCATGTAAAACAGAGGGAAGGCTGGCATTGTGACTCTGAGGGGCCGAGAACAAACCCAAAAAGAAGGGTACCCCTATGTCCTAAATTGCTCCTACTGAGACCTCAGGTGCCACCAGTCACACCTCCAGCTCTCATCCTATAGGCCTCCTGCTAGCTGTCCAATGCCGGTCTCCCACCTGCTCTCAGTGTCTTTGATAGGTGTGCCAAACAGAACCCTAAGGTGGTCCCCAATGGCTCGTGCCTCTCCTCTTGAGCGTGGATAGAATCCGTGATGTGATGGGTGTTGCACCCTTGATTATATGGCAAAGGCAAAGGGATTTTCCAGATAGAATTAAGGTCCTTACTGATAATTAAGGTTTCCTACCTTTAATCAAAAGGGAAATGACCCTGGGTGGACCTGGTCTAATTAGGGGAGCCCTTTAGAAGAGAGACTGGAATCCTCCTAAGGTAACAGAGGCTCTCCTGTAGGCCACGGAGGTCATGCAGCTGCTAGGAAGAGAATTTTGCAAACCACCTGTGAGCCTGGGAGAAACCCCGCCCCACAGTAGGAACCGAGCATTCAGGTGTCCCTACGTCCCCCCATGATGGGATTACAAGTTCCTTTCTGGCCTTCCTTGATTTCCATGTTCTGCCCGCCACCTCGCCCTCTGATGGCCCAGCTCAAGTCTCAGCTCT